GGATCCAGCCGCTGTTGAAACTGATCAGCGGCTGATTCCAGGAAGCCCGGGGCAGAGCAGCTCTGCCCTGGCTTCCTGTAGTTAGCCGATGGTCAGTTTCAAAAGTGGCTGAATCTGGACGCCAGTTCCGACTTACATTCAGATTCAATTTAAGAACAAACCTACAGTCCCTATCTTGTACTTAACCCGGGGACTGCCTGTAATAAATTAATTTTAAATCAAGTATGTTTCAGATATAGCCCTTGATCAGATAGGTGCAACTTACTCAGTATTTCATCCTTTAAAAGCAACCTCATATCATGTTGTGATTTTATTTTTTAGATTTTATTTTACTAGGGAGAACAGTTGCTTAAAAGTGTCTAACTATTAAATTATACAGGTTATTCTGCCGTTTAACTCCACCATTGTGTCTGAATTTCTTGGGTTTGACTCACATGGATTCATCAATCTCTCACACAAACAGTCAGGCAACTGCATATACATCAGTAAGTATAGAGAGACTTTCTCCTGATGCAATATGGCTTAACAGTTAGTTAGAAAAACATTAATTATAAAATGAAATGTTTATTATAAAAACATAGTTCTTCATCTTGCTGCATGTTCAATATTGAAGCAGGGTAGAATTGACTACTTCTGATTGAATTCTGCATAAAAAAACTAAACAGTCTGTGCACAATATTTTAAAATTCTGCAACATTCTGCATATTTTATTTGTCAATAAGTAAATGTGGAGGCAACCTGGGGGGGGGGGGGGGTAACCTGTCTCCTTGCTGACACAGATTTGGCGGTGATGCTGCACTCATCCCTGACATAACACAAGGTGCTGGGCTTTCCAGAAACAACTGGGAGTTCTACCCCATGTACCTGGCCCACCAAGATAGGAAGCAAGAAGGACAAAGTCTTGCACACTCATCCCTAGCACACAAATCCCAGCAGTATCTCAGTAACAAGGGGCTTACTGTGGGAGGGGAGGTTCCAGGTGTAGAGTGAGAGAGCTCTTTGTAGAGCTGTCAGGTTTAGGCATTTTGGTGGGGTTTCTGGGTGCATAGGGGATCTGAATGCACAAAGATTTATTGGTAGGGTTTTGGGTGCAGGGGGAAGTGAGGGAGTGTGAGTGTGAATGAGACTTATTGAGTTGGATAGGTGATGGGGGAAAGCTTGGTGGAGAGGATACAGAGGGCTCGTCATGATGGTTCAGGTGCCCTGCAGTAACTTACCTCTCCACCTGCTGCTTTGGACACCCAAAAATGGTGCACCTGCACTGCTGAGGTGAGGACTGCTAACATTTCGCAGCTTCCCTGTCAGAAGTATCTTTTCTGCAAGGAAGCAAAGAAATCTTCAGAGGACATGAATTCCCTGCAATTTCAGTGGCACAGAACTCCCCAAGGAGTAATAGAAACTGTTCACCATTCTCATTCATTGTCCCTTATTATCATTGACAGGCTTGTACTCAGTTTCACTGTCTGCACAGTGAGAAACTGCTGTGCAGAGCTACATGAGTGCAACCTACTTGTAACTTCCAAGTAGGAATGTAAAAAAGTAGTTGATTAGTCAACTGTAGTCGAGTTGACTACTCACATCTCCCCTGGCCCCCTGCTGTCCCTACATCATAGGCAGCAAGGTGGGGGAAGTAGGAGCCGATGCTGGGAGGAGTCGGCTTAAAAGCCAGTTCCCCCCAGCACTGTCTCCATGATGTCCCTTACATCCCGCCCCTTCTGCTCCGCTGCTGCCTCTATCACTGCTAATAGAGGCATCAGTGAGGGGGTAGCAGGGGAAGTGGCTCCGGCAGCAGCCCCTGTCTGTGGCCAGCCGAGGATCCCCCACAGTCAGGGGTTTCTGTACCTGGTGCGAGCTGGTACTGAGCAAGCCCAGCTCAGTCCTGGCTTGCATGAGGTCCAGGAGCTACCCTCATTGCAGCTTTGCAGTTTAAATGTAATACAAGCCGGGCTGTGTGTGCACACCCAGCTCTTACTATGTTTAAACTGCAGAGCCGCAGCAGGGGTAGTGCCTTCTGAGCACCTTCCCTTATTGAGTAATCGTGTAGTCGATACAAACTGTATTAACTACACAATTACCCATTTACCTGCCTCTTAACATCCCTAATTCCAAGTGATACTTGTTTTTGCACATGGACTGTAATTTTATATACATTTTTAGCAAACGTAAGATGAGACTGGAGACAGTACATTTGATTTTTGTTAAACAATTAATGGTTTTGACATTACTAGAATTATCATTTTGGTGGTAGACTATAATCTTGCGAGTATAGTTTATTTAGATTTACAACAAGATTTCTATCCATTGTTGTATGTGCCCTAAAAAAATGAATTATACAAAAAATACAGTTAAATCTGAGCTGCATTAAAATCAGTTCCACAGAAACTCAGCCAGTGAGTGATATCTCTGTCCTCAGCTTCACCTTATCTCACAGGTACGAGGTTTGTTTTGCATGCCCAGTAAGTCAGGATGCAAGTTCCAGAGTCTTGGAGACCACAAAGATCACCCTCTTATAGTTAAGAGGATCCAGATCAAATGTCTGCTGTTGTGACTGCAGCTTTAAAAATGTGGCACAGGAGGAGAGAGACAATGTTGTTCATTATTGAAAACTTACTTTTCATTTGTCAACATTAATTACAAAGCATTTATTACAAATAGAATTATGTAGATATTTAGAGAATGGATAACTTACTTACGTATTGTAACAGGGCCCTATGGGGGTGGTGATAAATTCTAGACAGACACAAAAATAATGGATCCAACTGTCATATTTTTACTAATCACTATCTTTCTCTTCAGATAATGGGTTCCATGAGAGTGTTGTCCTTCATTGCAGATGGGTTTTATATATATTATCCCATGCTGGTCGTCATTCTCTGTATAGCCACTTACTTCAGGTGAATAATTCACAAATTGTAATGATTTGCAGTTATTTACATCTCACTCATTTCAAAATAAAAGACACTCCCTCCCATCCCCAGGTGCATCACCATGCTAACTCAAACTATTGAAGATGAGACTGTAACTCAATTTAGCATTTTAGAATTTGTAGCTTTTAGATAGGAATATTTTTAAATGCATAAAAAGCTGAATATTTCAGTAAAAAATTCAACCATACACCAGAGCTCAGCAGTCTGAAAGTGAAAAAGTTCCATTGGAAATTTTTTTTACACCATGAATAAACTGTTAAATTTACTTAAAAGCAAGCAAACTTGCTCTCTGAACAAAACACCAGTTGTCACCATGTAGAGAATGCAAAGATAGTTTAAGGCCTCCTGATTCTAGGGCTAGTACAGTCCCCAATAAAAGTTAGAACCACTTGCTAATCTGGTTGCTCATGGTCCCATGAGACTTTGTTAGCAGCCCGGGGTCACTGTGGCATACGAATACCTGGAACATCACTCCTGCACTGTAAGCCAGGGGTTTACATAGGCTCCCCTATAATAATTCATCCTCCTGACTTATCATCTACACATAGAGGAATCCTCAATGGGCTAGATCTACTGATTTTACAGTTATATCAAAGACCTGATGCAATAAGTATAATTTTAGTATTTGTGTGATTACTCCTAGCAGGTAGATTTCTTGTTTCAAGTTACTTACAAGAGGTGAATTGATTTAAATCATCAAAAAATCACTGATTTAAATCAAGTTTCCCACTGATACTTCTTCACGTATTTCTTCAAACAATGATGCAAATCTGATCTCTAAAACATGTTAATTTATACCTAAGGACAGTATTTTACAACATATTGGAAGGTATACTTTGTGTGTGTTTTTTTTTTTTAAGATAACTTATTAATTTAGGAAATAGTATATAATAATACTATTATAGATGTAGATGCAGCAGCAGTACATTGAGAAGGGTAAGAATTAACTTTCTCACACACAAATAAAAGAGCACTTTTTAAAACTAAATCTTAAATGCTACATATGTTTCAGCTTTGCATTTCAGCAGTCTCCAGGATTGCCAGCTGATGGCTGTCCTTAAACTCTTTTTTTAAAACACTAAAAGTACAAGTGTCCCTAAAACTTCTCATCTAGCTCTCATCTTCCCCACTCCTTTCATTTTGATGCAGATCTGATTCCAAGTTACCAAAAAAGCTAAGACTTTGCTTAGAGAATACTTAATTTTGGAGTAAGCCTGATTGAAAACAAGTATAAGATGGGTTTCCTTTGGGAAAGTTTGATTATGCTTAAGTAAAATAGAAAAATAGTCTTATGGCATCACTATTATGGTCTGTCACTATGATGCCGCAAAATAAGGGGCATGTATTATGTAATATAAAATAAGATAATGACACTCAGTGACATCTGGCAACTCTATTTTTCTTACTGCAGATTTCTGGGTGATAGATTTTAACCTTAGTTAACTTCTTAATCAAGCCATAAGGGTTAAAATAAGTTTTTTGTAGAAACATCCAACATAGCAGTCAGCTTGGGAATTTACTTGTTAAATCACTCTTATACTAAAAGGCATAGAGAGAGCCTGGAAGAATGGTGCATTGCAAAGTTGATCCACATTGTTCTTCAGACATATCTACATCTTCATCCGCATAATTTTCTCCCAATAAGACATTTTCCTTATGATGCTTCATTCTTGCAAGTAGGCCCTACATCATCTTCTTGCACTGCTTACAATTGACAATTTTCCTTTTTTACTCAGGGAACAAATTTCTTCAAAATATTCCCAGATAGGGTCTCTTTTACATCCAGAAGCCATGACTGTTTTTCTACGGCAAAAGTGTAAGGGAATATAGGAACCTGTGTGTGTGCTGAATAATGTCTTCCCTTTTTATTTCTAGTCCACTCCACTGTTCCTTTCTATGCTGCCTCCATCCTTTCCTATATATTTTGTCTCTGTCTTTAGAAAATGTTTTAACTAATTCTGCTATATGTGGCTCAGGGCCACCACCACATAAGCACAGAACAGAAACAGTCCTATTCAGCCTCTGCCTGTCTTTGCATGTTAGTCTGCTAAGAAACATAAATTGAAGACTCAGAACTTTCAAGAAGCAAGAGCTTGTTGTTAGTCTGGACATACTAGAAACATTAATTCATTTATATGAGACTGTAAGTGTAGGTGTAGCATGTTTGTGATAAGAGTTAATTGTAACTTATTTTTAAATTTAATGTTATTGATATTTTAAAAAAATTTTAAATATGATTTTAGGGGTTGTTTTTTTTTTAATTCATTGATTTTTTTTTTTTAATCCACCCTGATTTGCAGTAGTTGTAGGTGGGAAAGTTTCTAGGAAAATGTAAACATGCTTCCATTCTGCTGCATTTCTGATTTCTGAAAGGGCTTTTATAGGCTGGTGCATGCCTTAATATCTCCTTAGTGTTCTGAATTTGTTACTTGCTTACTTGATAAAATAAATTATATTCTTTTTAAAATGTAGATTGCCAATATGGTGATCTCTTCATGTATACTGGAGATCGCTAACTATGCATGCTGTAGTGCAGTGTCTCTCAACTGTTTTTTATGAATTAAAACTTTTATTTTATTCTTTTTGGTTTTTATCAGTTTAGGAACTCGTTGTTTGAATCTGCTGGGGTTCCAGCAGTTCATGGGAGACAATGAGATGACTTCTGACTTCATTGATGAAGGAAAGGAATTAATCAGAAGAGGTAATATGGGTACAATAATGTGAATACAATTTTGTGATAAAAATGTGTATTGTTATGGTTCTAAAATTGCAAGGGTCACTTTAAAAATACAATAGCATATTGGTCTAAATCCATCACCTCTCACAATCTGAACACTATAGGGCTTCATTAGTACCTGAAGGAGAATAAAGAAACCTTAGATGCTGCAGGAATTGGTGTTTGTGATTCAGTGGGCAAGAGTCTTTTCTTGGAATCAGTGCTGAACCAATGCCCCAATTTGGTGAGGGGCATAGTTCCCTCCAAGATATGTGCCTGTGTGGACACGCACCAACAATTCAAATCCTGCTCACCTCCTCAGCAGAGCCGTGCAGTAGCTGCTCCTGGATAAGCCATGTGGTAGGCGACTGCCTCTCTCCATAAGCAGCCACCATGAAGCCCTGGCCCCTGGTCAGCTCACAGCACTTGGGAGATAAGGAGAAATGACATCACTTAACTTGACATTAGTTTCTAGGGGTTGCCTTGTGTCATGTAGTTCAATTTATTTTTGATTCAAGGGAAACCAGGACACTCCAGGGATACTTGATCACTTTCTTATTTATTGAAAGCTTTAAGCAGTTGTTTAAGTTTTACAAGCCTTAAAAATAATTACTATACAATTTAAACCTTAAATACTATAAATTCTACAGTAATTTAATACAGTGCACAGCAATGCAAAAGCAATTAATAGAAGATCTACTATAATACAATAATAAAGCCTAATTCACTTACACTTCACCCGTATGCTACTTACAGAACCAAGCAGGAGGTTGTGGTTCCTTTTCTTCCCACGCAATGGAACGCGTGTGAAGGGCCTATTTACTTCTAGTTACATCAAGCAGGACCTGTGGGTCAGTTTTGCCCATGCCCTCCCATCAATTGTTCTTACTTAGCCCATTTATAGTAAAGCAAGTCTTGGTCGTTCTAATAATATTTACCAGTTGATTATGTATTGTGTAGGATACGTAAAATGCCCAATTCCCTATCTGGAGTACATCCGTTCACTTAGGATGTTGCTGCTATGTGCGTAGTTCAGAAGTTGTATGGCTGAATCTGTAATTTTTGCTCACCAGAAACAGAAGTACCAGTACAAGGTACAAGATTGCTTGTAGTATGTTCTTGACTTGGTCTCACATACCATGCTTAATCTGCATTGTTATTCAGAACATTCCTGCCTTTCACAGCTTCTCCCTCCCAAACAATGCCTGCATGCTTATGTGTACCAGACTTGAGACAGGCCTGGGCTTTGCTTTTTAGGGATCTGCACTGTGTTTAAAGGCAGATATCACCATTTATTGTCAAGACAGGGTAGTCCAGGCTCCCCTACACCTTGGAATCAACTGTAGTGAAGGGAAATATTTTGTCATTAATGGGCTTCATCTCATGTTGTGAGAGAGGGAGGAGGGAATCCATGTTTATTGTGAGCACAGAGGTGTGAACATTTCTCCTCTCTGTTCAGATTTGATTAGAAATATAGCTTCAGGCTTGGGGTGGTTCAAAGAGGTTTAATGCTAGGTTCCTGGATCCCACATATGATCAATATGATTCTTGTTCCTTTAAGGCCCTTGGGACACATGAGCCCCAGTTTGTAACTTGTTTGTAATTTTCATCCTATTTCTTTCCCACTGCACTCAGTGATTTTGGTTTTGTGAATGACCGATGCCACTGTCACATTTCTCTCCACTCACCAAGACAGGAATGCGCAGCCTTAGGGAGGTGTCCTGCAGCTATCTCACTAGAAGCAGGCAGACAGGCAGATTAAAGGGACTGGCTGAGGAAGACTCCCCAACTTCCCAGTCCCAACCTACCCCTCCCCCACTCACCCAACTTTCCAGACCCAACCTACCCCTCCCCCACTCACCCTACTTCCCAGACCCAGCCTAAATCTCCCTCACT